ACCTTGGTGTTCCCCCGGAAAAGCTGGTGGAAGCGGTTGGGGAGGAGGAGGTCTGGGCTTCTCTGCTTAGGCTGCTGCCCCTGCAACCCAGCCTCGGATAAGCGAAAGAGGATGGATGGATGATAGAAACTAAACTGAAACTAAACTGAAACAAGCAAACTCACTCTGGAAACTAAATGAAATTAAACTGAACTAAATAGAAACCAAATAGAAAAACTATAATATCCCTGATTTACAAGGTGGACCTGCTGGTGTGTTTCCACAACATCATCCTGCTGCATAACCTGGGTGAGTTTTAGGGCATGAACTGATCATGCCCTAATGCTTTAGAAAACGTTCCTTCTAAAACGTTCCTATTTTCATTGTTGTCTTTCAGCTTTGGAATCGTCCTGTGGGAAGTCGCAACCCGTAAGAAACCCTTTGAAGGTTTGTATCTGCTGAAAATCAACTTGTATTATCCTGGTATTAAACACTTCAAATAAGGCAGGTGGACTTCATTTTCTTTTGGGAAGACATTTGAACTGTATTCCAAGACGCTTATTCTGCTCTAAAAGCTGATTGAGCTACTATCTTAATGTCTCTGTATTACTGTAAGGGCTTTACTTAAAAATATACAAGGTGAAGGTGATTGCTGTGGTAATTTGGAGCTATATAAATAAAATTTAATTGAATCGAATTGAATAGATAATGGCACGGCATGGTAATGTCTCACAGAGCTGTCACACCTTGGCACATGTGACAGCAGTGGCCCAGGCCTTGATTCATACCTTGGTTCATGTGAAGTTTAATGACTCACATGCATACAGAAGTGAAATGTCTTCGCAAACCAAAAAGAAATCCCATCGACTTCATTTTGAGTGCCTAACACTACCATGAACCTGGATCACTGAGAACTTGTGCAGTCAGGCATCTGTACCAAGTTGTCTGTACATGTTTTCCAGGTTTTTCAGATGAAGAAATTTATAGGAAGGTGTTAGAAGAGAAGTGCAAAGAGCCGCTTCCCGATGACTGTCCTGCAGAACTGGGCCAGCTAATAAACGAGTGCCGAGACTTCGATAGCTTCCAGAGGCCTTCAGCTGGAGGTGATGATAATAATAATAATGACTCCATCAGTATGTTCAGTTATCTTTCTGTGACTGTCGGGGTTCAGTTCACTAAATTTCTAACAATATTTTGTCTTCTGTAGTACTGGTGGATAGACTGCGCAGTGTGGTGGCACAGTTAGAGGACCAATGAAACTCTTTATCTGCCTTTCTGCTGGCCAGGCTCATCCTCAGGGGAGGAAATGCAGCTTTGAATAAAACTGGACTTTAACTTGTGGGCCACTAAATTGTATTTATATTCTACCTTTAGGGTACCTGGGTCGTTGACACAGTGATTTCAGTTTTGTACCTTTTTATTAGTGTTCTCATCTTAGTTTTTTTTTGTGAAGATTTTGATTTATTCCCTCTATTCTGTGTCCAGTCAGGCTGTTTCTGCCCTGATCCCACGTCTCTGTTCCCTCTGTTGCAGTGCCTGCTTGTGAGTCTGTGTCTGTAAGTTCAGTCTGTGTTTCCTGTTTTACTTTGAAAGTCTGTGTCTCATGTTAATGTGTCTGGTTTTGCTTCCTTTGTCTCGTTAGGCCTGATTTGCCCCAGCTGTGTTTCCTTCCTGTTTCCCATTCCCTGATTGCTCCCTCTGTGTATTTAAGCCCTGTGTTTCTCTTTGTCCGGGTTGCGATCTACCCTCGTTTCATGCTGTGTGTTCTGTCCGCTCGCTCAGGTTATTGTAGTGATGGGTAGATGAGGGCTTGTGAAGTGTTTCAGCACATTCCCCAAACTGTATCGATACTGTGTCGACACAGTGTTGCTATTTTGCTCCATACTGACACCTGCTGGTCCTTAAATATCATTGCAGGCAACTTACTTGAGACTCACAACAGACACTGATTCAATGACCTAGTCATATTTGTATACACTGTCCATGGAATCATTTTATATCTTTTACATTGCAAATATTGTAGACATCTTTAAATATATTGTGAATCACATTAAGCGAAAATTTTAACGAAAGTATTATGAATGTAATGTTACCCACTTAAATGTAATTGACTCTTCAGAAAATTGACTATTCAGAAAAATAAGTTTATCCAATGTTTTTGCCTTCAGTCTATTGCGTTTTTTGGACACCATCTCCCTAGCTTTGGAAAAACACGCTCACAGGGCACAGATAAAGCTGGGGTACACAAAAACTGTAAAGCCAGGTGGAAAAGGTTCAGATAAGATGTCCTCCTAGTCCTCCAGTACGTTAAAGGATCCTCTGATCTTGGAATGTTCCTCTCCAACATTCTCCACAATACTAAGGGGTTGGCTGTCCTTTATAATAAAATTCAGGACTGCCTGGTCAAAAACAGTCTTCCTAGATGCTTGATTTCAAAATAATAAAACACATATTTAAAAAAAAAAAATATGATGATAATGCTGCTCAATGTCTATATAGGACAACCTGTGTTCATTCTCGGTGTGTTTGTCTCCTCATTTTCATGTTTGGCTCTGTAATGCCTAAACACTGAGGAGGTGCTTTTGTTTGTGTAAGAAGCTCCGCAGAACAGATGCGACATTTAACCTGCATAAAATGAAATAAATATTTTACACTGCAGGTCCCATTGCTGTTTTTCCTGTTCTGATAGATTACACTGAAACAAAGACAGACAAACAGTTACCTTATTTGCAGTTAAAAGATCAAAATGATCCCACACAGCAGAAACATTTCTTTTTCTTTCGGGCTCCGTTTTTTTATGGAGAGATATGTTGTTGTTGTTGTTGTTGTTGTTTTTTACCTTTGCGAGAGTAATTTTGTGGGGTTTTGTTAGCGAGTCATTCCGTTGGCAGATGCAGATGCGGTACCTTTTAAACACATTTTGGCAAGTTGGCAATGAGCGATACAGCAGCTGTATCGATCACGTGACTTTTTCTTAAAGTGACGCGCGCACCGATACAGGTTTGCTCTGTGAGCTTGATACAAGCGTCGGTGTGTCAGTGTTGCTAGACCCATCACTAGGTTATTGTTATTTTCAGTTTAGTATTTGTATTCTCAGTTTTGCTAGTTCTCTGTTTGCCATCTAGCAATAAATCTGAGTTTGAGTTTACTTTCTGCCTCTGAGTGTCTGTGCACTGGGTCCTCCTTACCACCACTCCTGCCTGCACACAGCCTTCAGTTGACAGAAGATCGCGACCAGAACATGGACCCCCGCAGACATTTTCATCTCGGAGTACAACGCTGAGATGAAGCGGATGGTGAGCCTGCTCGACCGCATCGCCCAATCCCCAGATTTGAGGACCATGGCAGTCGGGCTGAGTGCAGTAGATGCCATCATTCGACATAACGTCTGGTGTCCTGGTGCAGCCACAACAACTTGGTGTTGAACGCCCAGACGACAATGGAGAGACTGCAGCATGTTGTGCGCTCTGCTGAGAAGGTGATTGGCTCCAGACTCCCATCTGTGCAGGACCTGTATACCTCTAGGACACTGGGGCGTGCAGCTTCACAGCTGACCCTTCTCACCGTAGACACAGTCTGACCTGCTCCCCTCAGGCAGGAGGGTCCAGTCCATTCGGACCAGAACCTCTCGTCATAAGAACAATTTCTTCCCCTCTGCTGTTGGACTGATGAACAATAACCATAAGACTGTTCCCACCACAAACACATGACCCTATACTGTGTTCTCTGCATCTGTTCCATTTTTGCACTGATCACCACCTGCATTCATGTACGTATCAATCTGCTTAGCTTTTTTTTTTAAGTGTTTGTCTTATAGTATGTTTCACACAAGGTACCGCAGCAATTTCGTAATGTTGTAAGTCTGTTAAACATCTGGAAATAAACCCTTTCTGTTTCTGATTCAGCTGCACTTCTACACTAAAGGTTTTGGTAAAATGCTCCCACCTAGTGGTGAAAGTTCTCATCATCATTTACAGACAGTTTAAAAAAACGCACCTTTTTAAATACAGAAAATATTTTGACCTTTGATAAGTTAGATAACGGGACTCGCAGACGAATTACTAAAAAAAAGTAACTTAGTATTACTTTTAGTGACAAAAAGCAATAGTTATTTGTTTTTTTTTCATGTCACGCGGATGTTGATGTACTCGGAGCTGCTCAGTCCTGCAGTTTGTCAAAGCCGGGCCTTCAGGCACACAAGATTTGTAATGTGTTTTTCTGACCCAAGACACCTGCAGTCCCTTCAAACAGTAAGCATGTCTATTAATGCTCACTCTTTCTAAATATTTAGCAGCAATGATATTTTAAGCCATGTTTAAAACTTTTATTTAGTTCACTCCTGAGTGTTTTGCATTTAATAAAGATCTTTTTAGATTTTTAGCTCGATACCAGTTTCAATCTTTGAAATAAGAAGGATACTTAAGCGTATCACCCCAGTCACCCCTCAGGCGTTCTCGTACCCGTTAGTGCATGAACTTGCATTAGAGAACTCTACTTTTCCTACCACGGTCTGTATGTGTCATCTACAACTTTATGTACTTTATGCACTTTCACAGTGGTCACACTATCTTGCAAATTTCTAAGACTTTGTTCAACATTGACAGTGTCTTTTAACTCAAACAGGTAGACTTCTGCCACTCCTCTGGGGTGAAGCCCTCCAAATGCAGAATCTTCTGTGCTGCAGGTATAAAAACACCCATTCCAGTCTTTTTGTCAGCTATGAAAAAGTAATATTTTTCAAGTGGAGAACGGCATGAATGTTTCATTTTACACCTTACACAAATATCTTGGTGGTGCATTGGATAATTGCATTTAGAACGGAGGTGAGTTTGATAAGCTCCAAAATTGCTGTGTGCAACAGGCTGTCTGTCTCGTCGTGGTGCTGAAAAGTTGGTTCCTGGGGCTGGAGATTCAAGGGACCGCAGACTTTTTTAAGTGCTATTTGTCCAGAGTTTTGGCAACCCAGTCGAGATCCGCTGGCTCTCAGACATTGGTACAGAAGACATTACTTCTTTTTTTTTTTTCCTCCAGAGAATCTTGCACTCAACCTGATGTTTTTTTTCTTTTCTTTTCAGAAATGTCGATCTATCTAGTCATCATCAGGTTTTATATCACTTGAGTGTATGAGGAATATGTAGTTTCATTTAATAATGGATTCTTTGAATTGTACATAAATATGAATTTTACTCATGGCTGGTAAAAATGATTTATATGCATATGCAGAATAAAATGTTTTTATGGATACTTTTATTAAAGCTGCACCGGGCACCAAACATAACTACCAAAAAGACAAAAACAAAACAAGTCACGGATTTATTCAAAATCTGAGTAGTGGTATGCTTTTAATCCGTTTTTTGACAATGTGACTCTGTTTCACATACCATCAACTTAAAAATGACTTTCCTGGCTCTTTGAACACTCTCTAACATTGGCTATTGTTTGCAAAGACCAAAAGTTTGTCGGTGTGTGACATGATTTCCTTTACGGAAAGACATGAAAATTAAGGAAGATACATGAAAAATACACACTCCTTGTTTTTTGACCTCTGAGTCATGACTTACATCCTGAAAGATCTGTTTAAACTGTAAGGATCCAGGGAGGTTCCTCTAATTCACAGAATAGGGGTGAAAACTTCACATTCTTTTTCTTGTTGATGTAAAAACAAATGAGAATTAAAACCCTGTGTTGCCCCGGGGCTTTTGAGTCACCGAGATATTTGAAAATATTCCTTCACACACTCCCCTGCTGCCGATACTGTAGTAATACAGCGAGATGATTGTTTATCTTATTGTCATCTGTGTTTCAAAGACATTATGTTCTGATTTTATGGAGTTGCATTTTGCCCTACCCTTTCAAGAGTATTGTTAAAGTTTATAGTTATAGTATGTTTTTATAAATATATTTATAAAAGACCTGGGCTGCTTGCTGAAAAATGGGACCAGGGTTTCCCCCACACTGAGGTGTGGCTTGTAGTAAACAACAGGTTCAGCTTGATTAACATAACGGGGGTTGAAAACATTCTTTGTCTTACCGATGTAACAGACAAAAACAATGAATACTAAGGACCTTGATGAGCAGAGCTTTTGAATGGAGTCCTTTAATGCAGTTTCATTACACACATAAGATAAGATAAAGATGTTTTAAGATGTGTGGTTATCTGCAGAGACCACGTTGTAGAGCAGGGGTCCCCAATCCCAGTCCATGAGGGCCGATGTCCCTGCAGGTTTTAGCTCTCACCCTGGGTCAATACACCTGAATCACATGATTAGCTCATTACCAGGCCTCTGGAGAACTTCAAGACATGTTGAGAAGGTAATTTATCCATTTAAATCAGCTGTGGTGGGACACATCTAAAACCTGCAGGGACACCGGCCCTTGTAGACTGGGATTGGGGACTCCTATTTGGACAAAGAAGACAGATGGTATGAAAGAGGAGTGAAAGAAGCCATCTATGTCCACTGTGAACACAATCTTTGGACAGAGATGGTGGTTTACCACACCAACTGTCTGCCATCTACAATCCAGTTTTGAGATGCCTTCCCAGGTGCCACTCACACTCTGAGCCTTTTGACCTCAGGAAATCACATGATCGGGTGGATCTAGGTCACACAGCAGGTTTCCCCCAAAACCTTGGCTGATTGTGACCTACACCCATTTTCACACCTTGGCTCGTGTGATTAGGTAAACAGACCATCAGGGGGTCCATGTCTCTCTCCACCATTTGACCTTAGAACTGAAGAAGCTTCTGGGATGAGAGGTGAAACTATGTATTAGGTGCTTTTTTTTCCTGAACACCAGCAGGAGACTGACTGAGAGAAATGCCTTTAGTCATCCACTTTGAGCATTCTGAACATTGAACATGGAATGTTCAAATCCATACTTTATTTTTTATAAATAAGTTAGAAACGATCTTCGTTTTATATTTTCATTTTGCTTTTCTTACTACATTAGTATAACCACTGAATCGCTGATTCCACACGCTGACGCACGTGTGCAGGTGAAGAAGCCGAAACTTTCCTATTACTACTTTTAAATGCAAAATTTTTCCACATAATAATACAGCGTTTCGTTATCTTTTGCTTTTTTATTTTCTATTTTCATTTAAATTTGGAAAACAATTTCAGGTCAGAAGGATAAAATTTGATACTCTGAAATCACACATCGACGATCCTCTGTTGACCGGAAGATAATCGTCTTATTTACAAACGATCTTCGGCAGTGACGTCGCGGCAGGCTGGAGCGGGCGGAGCGGACTGGCGCCGGGAGATTCGAGCTCTGAAGGCGGGTCTGCCTGACTGCATTAACCGCTGTGAGAAGAAGTAGTAACTCGTCAACACAGCAGCTGGACCCTCTAGATTTGCTTCTTCGACTTGCTTCTGCCATGTTGCTAACTACTGTGGAAGTTGAGACCGGGATCGGCAGCTGTTAAACCCTCACAGGTAGGTAGGGTTCGCTCCTAACCGCGCCGCGACGACTACCCGAGCACAGCACAGCCAAGCTGGCTAACAGCGCTAATAACGAGCCTACTAACGTTTACTTTTCTTTTTTGTGTACGTACAATGGTTACCATTACCTTTGGTAATATGCCAATATGTTTAAGCACTGAGCATAAGAGTAAATTTACATTAAAGCGTTTTTACTGAATCGCTCCACTCCAATGCTAGCTAACTTTAGCTCCGTGGTTATCTGGAGGTAAAACGGAAATCACAGAAAACAACAGGTGTTCTCTCCAGATTGTAAAATGTTGCTCTTGTGCCGATAAGTAACAGTCAAGGTGAAGCTGAGTGGAGTTTGAATAGCAGTGACTGTTGGCGGTTTTCTTGCTCCGAGGCCTCTATGACCTCGGGCTTTAGTTCGGGGCTCAACCGAAGAAGGCGCCTGCGTCTCCCGGGGAGCGCAGCGAAGAGTATCCGCTGGAACGACATGGTAGAGACTTTTCAGGAATGGTTTTTCAGCTGTTTGTTGATAATGACTGCTTTAACTGTAGGTTATCCACATTTTAGCTTAGTGATGCTTTTAAAATCAGACCTAACGCGTTGTTCCAATCCTCCTCATGTCCACAACCGACTTTAAGTCTTTGCCAGGTTAAGATGCAGATAGATCTTTTTGCGTCACCTAAGTTTCCCACCACAGTCTTGTAGTCTTCCTCATCACTCTTTCTGTTACATCCCACTGCTGCAGAATAATCAGACAATTTCTGAAGGTGGCAGGTCTCTGTGCAGTAGCTGAAGTCTGTGGTGGAGAGGCGCTGGTCCCTGCAGGGACCAGAGTTGCTGACCACACTGTCTCTCACACACTGTGTGTGTCCACCTCCCTCATCTAAGCTTATCGCCTAGTAGAGTTGGACAGATGGTGTTAAAGTCACTGGAGAAGTTAAAAAATATTATTTAAAAAAAACAAACTTTTTTTTTTTTGAACTGTGCTTGTTAGCTTGTCCAGGTGGGTGTAGAGATAGTTGAGCAGGTAGAGACTGGCTGAAGGGGGTCATAAACGGGCTGATCATGGACCTGAGCTGATTTGTACTGATAGTGCCACAGGTCTGTCTTGGGCAAAGCCACAAGGTATGTGACCTCTGTGACCTCTTCCACTGCATGGGGACCTTTTCCATATTCGGGCTTGTCCTAAAGATGCAATGGGACCACATAACTGGGTAGCGCAAGCTCTGAGGCCTACTGGCCCCATCTGACTCTGCATCTGGTCAGCAGTGTGGTAACAGATGGGGGGAGGAGTTGTAAAATTCGGAAAACACAGTGAGCCTGTGAGGAGGGGCAAAAATGGGGGAGGGTTGAAGGTGTATGGGAGGAAGGCTCAGTGTGGGGAAGGAGGGAGCTGCAGCCACAGGTTTTAAGCTGTTAAAGAGCAGAATTGGTTCACAGATTTGGTTTGGCTCACACCACTACTCCTGGGTAGCCTCTCCACTCCAGACTTCACTCATGATGTGCTGCTTCCACTCCATATTCTTTCTGTAGTTTCCATTGGCATGCATTTGTTTTCACTTCCCTTTGACTTGTTCATACGTTCTCCCTGCTGAAGGCTATATTCTTTGTTTTAAGCAGGACATTTGTTACCCCCCCCTTCCTTGTTTGGATAAAACTTGACAGTCTCTGTAGTTGAGATCTCCTCATTCCAAGTTATCGCAGGCAGCCTCTGTGTTTTTTTTTTTTATTTTTTTTTTTTTTTATTAATTTTTTCCTTCTTTTTTTGTGCCTCTTTAAGGTGGCCCCCAGAGACAAAGCACATACAAACTCCAAAAAGCACGTGCAAACTCCAAAACACAACGGAAGTGCTCCAGAACGCTAGGGACAGTGTTGAGCTCGATTTGTAAAATAAAGTGCAAGTTTGTTGCAAACACTTGGAGTTGGATACCGGCAGAAAACACCTGCAAGAATAGAACAACCACGCTTTATAAGAAAGGTAATGTGCAAACTGTTTGTTTGATATGTTTTTAATTACTATGAACACTTGGTTTATGGTGGAGTCAAATCTGACGTTAGCTAATAGTCAGTGTGCTTTGCTCAGAGAGAAGCTCAACACTGCCCCTAGCGTCCTGGAGCACTTCCGCTGTGTTTTGGAGTTTGTACGTGCTTTGTCTCTAGGGGCCACCGTACCTCTTGACTAGCGGGACGTACCTGAGGGTTAGGAGAACCGAGCTGTGATCTGTTTCCAATGGACAACCTGGTCAGGTGCACGAGAGGCACTAGAGATTTGCTTGTTTACTGTCCAGTGTGCAGGGATGAGTCAGATTAAACATGTGAAAGGTTTTGTTGTGGAATTTGGCTTTTTAGGGTTTTATAAAGAATAAAGTTTGCAGGGATCACCCAGTGGAAACTTCTATAGCGGAAGGGAAATAAGGATTATTGTTTAAAGCC